ATTTCGGTGGGAAAGGATTTTCCCGGTGATTTGATCGATCAGCCAGCCGCGAAATTCGACTCTTGAGATTGCATCCGCAACGCCCGCGGCCGCTTTCTGCCAAATGAATCCGCCTCTGCGCGCTGCTGATGGCTCGGGATTTGCCCAAGCACTTTTCAATCACAAAGTCTTCCCGCACTTTTGCCGCCAGCGGGACTCGAGGCGAAAAATATCGCGTTTCCCAGTCGGTGCTGAGGCGGATTGCGTCGCACTTTTATGTGAGCCTGCATTGAAAGAGATTCTTGTTACAGAATCCCTAAAGCAAAATTTTTCTCATACCTTGTGCATTGCGCGGCTTCTAATTTCTTTTTGTAATTTGATATTTATATAATTGGAAATATGATGATCAAAATAATTTAAAAAGAAAATATAATAACAGAAATTTGAATATCATAATTTTTCATTGTAAAAAGAAGCATTGAAAATTTAATTTTTTTTATAAATTTAATAGCAACTTTTACAACAAATTTGCATAGAAAGAAAATTGATTTTTGTGAGAGAAACATTGAATTATTTTAGATTAATTTGCTGCGAAATTTTATTTAAGCTTCGATTCCCATTGCAGCCTCAGTGATTTTCTCCATCTAGAACTGCAAAAATTGGTTGGGAGCCGCAAGATTTACATTTGAAAAACAGGGTTTCTTTGGATCCCAATTTGCCCCCAAATCTTCAATACAAAACAATTTTTTTTTAGAGTCATATTGTAATTTCTGGAATAATGGGACAATTTTTAATTCGAATTCGTATTTGGAGAATACCTCGTTTTACAAAATTTAAACCCTTCGAAACCAAAAAACTACGGTGTGATTGTTGAAACTCCATCTCTAATTAGGCGTTGATTGTCCTCGATGCGTGACGGGTCACCGAATTCAAAATCAATGGCGCGGCACCCCCGGCACGACGAGGGGTGGCAATAATTACTTGCGGTCTCGGGCCGAGAGCAGGGCGGGCACCGCGGGCGCTAATTAGCAGCCTAATTGGACGCCTCTTGCTATTGACTCGCCGTTAATTAAATTCCGCAAGTGCTGTGGCAGCGGCGCCGCCACCACGAATCAATTAAGAAAACAGCCGCCGGAAAATTTCCCAGCCAATTTATATTCGCTGCAATAAGCAGATGACTTTTCAGACTTGTGTGTTGCCGACCGGCTCTTAACACCATCGGATGGATAGATGGATGTGCTGCTGGCGAGCATTGTGTGTGTTTTATATGCCGAGCCGGTATGTTGCTGTGAAAAGAAGCAGCAGGGGAAAGTCGACAAGGACGCCCTCAGATATCCCGCGGGAAATGTTTCCGGAATGAGAACACGGCTGTAAAAATTTTGACACGTAGAAAGCGGACGAAAAGGGAGGTTACTGGGAATTCATGGATGTATTGGAAAATCGACAACTAATGTATTTTGCGGAATTGCGACAAAATATTATGTATGTGATAGAGAAAAAAATTATCCGTGATAAAAAACTATTCTCACTGTCTAATTTTAGTTGTCTAAAGATAAATTATGAGCTATTGACATAGTTTTATTATTTCTTATTATTAATATTGTTTGATAAAATCCACCAACTTAATCTGTCATATTTAGAATACACTTTTTATTTAAATTAGTACAACATTTAATAAAAGAGAAAGATCAGTAATATAATATTTGATTTTAATAAATTCAATTAATAATAATTAGCAAATAAATAGTTACTTTTTGAACTTTAAAATGTTTATTTTAAATAATAATAAATTTACATTTAAAAACGTTGTTAAAGAACTTGTATGTTTCCACTTAATTTGTGAATTAGACTAGTTTCATATAGAAGAGGTCTCGTATAATAGTAATAATAAGTATTTGAAAACCGTTCAATCGTTTTAACTAATATATTTTGAAAATATTCATTATATTTAGTAAAAATAAAAATTAAAATGTAAGTTCCTCAAGCGACAACCAAAACAAGACAATTGCTAAAATTTCTTTCCAAGTTTTACCCGATGCAACAATGAAATTTGGTTTATATTGTCGCTAGCTTATCAGAGGAAGTACCAGTTTGATGATGAACACTTTGGATTGGCCCAGAACTAAATTGATTATAAACCATTGTTGCAATCCCCTTCCCTCCAACCCCCGGTTTTACCAACAAATTTCTTAAACTTTCAATGCGTTCTGGAAAGAGTTATTTCTATTTTTTTTTTTTACTACTTGCACTTGATATCAAAAGTTCAGTTTTCAAGAACATAAAAGCATCAATCCATGATGGAATTCTCAGAAATGCTTTCAAACTTTGCAAAAGATTTCCACCCGCCTAGGGACGTTTCAAACAAAGAAAAATGCAGTGTCGGAGTGCCCTGGATGGTCTTTTTCTCTTTCTCTCACCCACTTTTCTCTCGGAAACAGACGAGTGTTCCGCGCTGCATTTCTTTGCCAGGCGTGAGCAGTTTGCTTAAATTTGAATACATCTGCTTTATCGCCCTTTTCTTTTTCCTGTGCACTGTGCATACACATACACGTTCGTGTAAATTCCAAGCGTCCGGAAAAGAAGGAGTGCCATTCTTCTCCGACTCTCGCTGCCTCATGCACTCGCCGCCACAACAAATGACTGCCGCGGAATTTTCAATTTCAAACCGGCGTGCTGAGTAATTTGTAGAACCTGTCGTTTGCACAAAATAAAGAAGTGGAATGAACAGAAACCATTACTTTTTTAGGAGGATAATTTTATAAAAAAAAAAAAAAAAAAAAATAAAATTAAATTAAAAATTTAACCCTGACTTTTTGTATATTTAAAAAAAAAATATTTCAATTATTTTCACATCATTATAGAAATGGATAAGGCGTTGAATAGGCATTAGAAAATGATTTTAGCAATGAAAATTTATTTTTTAAACAAAAAAGATTGCGAAAGATTTTTAAAAACAATTTGCAAGTGATGTCTATCAAATATAAAAATGAAATAAATAAAACAATTTAAAACAAAAACAAAAAATTATTTTACTTTGTTGGCCGAAAATGATATTTAAATTAAAGTGATTTTCAAATTTTGTTTTAAAATTAAACTAAATTTTTAATGTTTCCTTCTGACATTCTATCTATAAATGCGAATCTAAGAATAAGAGAGAAAGCTTTTTTGGCTTGGAAGAACAAAACGGGAGAGGAACGAGCGGTTCAGTCAAGTGCGAGCTCTCAAGGAAGTGGCGTCTTGTTCTCCAACCGACCGGATTCTCCTTTGGACCCAAAAAGTGGAAAATGTTGCACAGGAAGTGGCGCCGTCGAGCAGCCATAAATCCTCCGCCCCGAGCACCACATATTCTCTCTTTTTCTCGGGCGCACATTTTTAATTTATCTGCTGGCTGCGATTTCGGATCAGGGGGCCAACGCGCAGAGATTATGGCCGGCCGCCGAGAAATGGCCAATAATACGTCTTTCCAACACAAGCAGTTGTTTACTTTTTCCCCGAGGGGCTATTTCGGATGTTGGCTCGCGTCGGATCGGCCATATTTCATCCGCGCGCTGTCCGTGCACCACCAGATGAGAAATGGATCATAATGGAGTGGCTAAAGAGTTCATAACAATGGCGGCAAAAGCGAGCCAATTGAGCTTTTCTTCACTCTGGGATAAAACACTTTAGATTTGAAAAATTCACTCTTTGACAAAATATCAATATATTTCAAGAAAATCTTGCTTTATTGGTTGGCAAATATAAAGATTCGTTTAAATTTCATGATCAATCCCGCGGCAGGATATTATTGAAGCGAAAAAGACTCCTATCAATAACTCATCTAGAAAAAGCCACCATTAAATTCAAAGAACTCAGTTAATTTTTATTATTATTGAATAATAAATGCACCATTTTTTTTCATTTGTGAGAATATGAGCAATATCTTAATGATTTCGTAGGCAAATGCCAAATTTGAGGCCTAACGTAGATGATCGGAATATAGATTTTCACACTTCTGATATTAAGAATCCTCTCAAAAACTATGCAATTTGTTCAACTTTCTAAATATTCTTATTTTTGGCGTTTGAATTGCAATTCAGCTTTTCCTTGTTGGTAAAACGTCATAAAATTGTTAAGAGTTATTGTTTTGCAGAAGAAAATAAAACAATATCCCACTCTACAAAAAACATGTACGCAAAAAAATGCAACAAGGAGAAAAGCTGAATTTCAATTCAAACACTTTCGTAGAATAATTTAGATCATCTTTGGATGTAAATAAAACAAAGTAAATTGAACCATTACATAAAGTATGACTTTAAAATTTTAATTCATGCTATTTCTTTCCAAGTAAAACAATGTATATATTTTTATTATTTTTTCAGATTTTTTTACATTAAAAATTTTAAATATTTTTTACAACATTTTAAAAATATAAATAAAAAACTTTTTAAAATGATGAATTGGTAAATGATCCTTTTAGCTCAAACATACTTTTTTCAAAGTTTTTTTTTTTGTAAATTGTATGATGCTGTATTGAGTCTGACATTAAAATTGTCATATATGTCAATAATATCAGTACCGCATTTTTGAACTTATTTTTATAAAATCGTGTTTATATATTATTGGAAAGTTGGAAATCATAAAAAGAGAGGAAGTTTACAAGATGTCAATAATACATATTCCAAAATTAACAAAACAATGCAAATAGCGTTTGTGATTTTTTTCGTTTTAGCAAATTAATAAAGTTCAATTTATTTTCAAATTTTTAAAATAATTGACAAAAAATACTTTTACATAATTATTCATATTTCAAGTCCTATCTAAAAACTGCAGAGTTGTCGCGGAAAGTGAGTCGCGTTCGCTTCTCGGCTATAGCATGTCGTAAATCATTTGTCAAGAGTTATTGCGTGCAGCGCTCTCAAGGCACAGAATATAAGAAAGTCATTCATTCGCCAACTTCTTCTTCTTCTCCTTCTCTCTCCTAGAAATGCGTGTGTGTTTGTACGATCGACTCTCTTTTTCAAGTTCTTTTTCTCGTGTTGCAGGGGCATTTTGCTGCAGGGAAGAGGCCTCAACGAGCAGGCCATCGAGAGCTACCAGAGGGCCATTCACTTCAGACCTAGATTGGCAGGTGAGTCTGACTGCCGATAACGGCAGCGCCGATTACCACGCTTAATGCATTATTGCCTCTCGCCCTAGGCTTCTTTAGCGTTAAATGTTTAATATTACCCCTGCTGTCGATGAAACCGCGCTCAATATAAACCCTATCCGCTCATCATGTGTGGTTTGAAACGTGTGTTCATAAATAAATTAATCTTCGCGGACGATCGTACTCAGCTTGGCCATCACTTAACATTCTTTCAAAGCCTATTAAGTGAATCAATTGTGATTTTCATAAAACTTGTAACTTATAGAATGCAGAAAAATTGTTTTACTTAACATTTACAAAGCTTGTAATTTAAAAAATATAAATATTTATTTATTTTAGGGCTAAAAACGACTTTTTGGAACTTTTAGCTGTATGTAGAGACTCTTTTACACCATTTATTTTGAAATTGACAAAAATTTCAGCTAATAATATTATAAAAAATTAACATAAAAAAAGCTTTTAAATAAATATCATTTTAAATTTTTGAACAGAGAAAAAGTAACAAAATATCCTGTGTAATTGCGATTGATAAAATCTAATTACTTCGTAAAAATTTATTTGCATTTCAATTTTTTTTTTTTTAATTTAATTCATTCCGTTTATTTTCCATTTAAATTCAAAATACGCTAGAGATTATTTGCGTGAAATTGAATTCAAATCCGCAATCAAATCGATCGAAAGCGCTAGCGGCGCCAAAACAAAATCAGAGTGGCGAAAGTAATTGCGGTTTTGGTCAAATGCGACCGCTGCCAGTTTGCATCCGGCGTATTTTCGCAATATTTGCAGATTTCGGGCCGTTCCAACCAATTACTCTAAAAGCCTCTCGCCGCGAAATCATAGACCAGATGTTGCGCACTAATTACATTTGGTGCCGCAATAAAAATTCTCCGCTTATGATATTCGGCGCAAATAAAATTGCCGCCGCATTAGGAAAGAGAATGAAAGAATTGTTTGGCAGCGCGAGTGCTCGGGACGCTTTATGTTTGCTCAACTTTAATGGTGTATGCTGAAGAGAGGGAAAAGTACTCGACACACTCACTCGGCTGCGGTGGAAAGAGCCAGCGAGCTAAATATATATTTTATGCCTTCTTTTACACGTGTTTAAGAGCATTTTCTGGTTTTCTCTCGGTCGTGTGCGAACAAAACGAGCCTGTCGTCGTCGCCGCGACTCTTTTTCCTCCTCTCCGGGCCGTATATATATATTTTTCTTCATTTCGCCCGCTTTCATTTGCACCCACCCGCACGAAAAACACACACACACCCGCCGCGAATAATGAGCCCTGAAAGGGGCATAAATTATTGTTATACGAAAAACGTATGTCCTCCTGCCACACACGTGCTCTGTCTGTGTTTTATGCGACTCGCAAACACACAAAGCCGCAGCTTATTATCAAAATTAACTTTTGTTTCCGAGAGAGGACACACAGAGAGCGTGCGTTTTTTCCTCCTTCCTCTGCTCTCCTCTGAGAGCGAAACGCACCCGGCCGTAATTAGCCGTAAGAGCTTTTAGAATTGATTAACTTGCTCCGCAGCACTGTTTATATAACCAAGGAAAGGAATTTGTCAAAGTGAATCATGTTTAAAACAAAGATTTAAGCGTGAAAAGTCGGAGCATAAAATTATATAAAAGCAACTTTTAATATAATTACTCTTCAAATTACTCACATGCATTGTTTAAAATATTTTTCCATCAATTACTTTTCCAGGAATTTAAAGTTAATTTATTTTTATACGAATTTTTATTTATTTAATATTAATTTGTTGAAAGCTGGTCAAATATAAGATAGATGTTATATAAATATGTCAATTTCAAAATTAAAAGAACAATACAAAAAAAATGGTGTCAAGTTTTACAATAATGCATACAGAACTATGTATTTCAAATTGTGCTTTTTTATGTTGTTGTTTACTTTATTATTGGAAAATTATCAATTTTTGGACAAATAATTGAATTTTTGGGCACTGAGAACTAGTTTTTGTTACCTGGAACATCTAGAATTTTCCATTTTCAAGCCACCTACGTCAGCTAAAATTAACAAACATTTGCTAATTAAAGGTTATCCGCTAAATGGAATTGCTTTAAGTTAACTTAATTCACACACAAAATGGGAAAAAAATTATTCCCCCAGGGTTTACAATTTTATATATTTTTGCTGGAAACCAACTCAATCTTACAAGCCAAAGTTTTCAATAGTAAAAACTTTCACAAATTTAATACAAAATTTATAATAAAGTTTATCGCAAAACGGTCCATTTCGAAACCGAAAATAGTTTTAGGAGAAGAAAATGTTGAAAACTTCTCCTAATTATAATTTAGTGGGTTTTTTTAGCTTTGCCGCCTGGCAGACAAATTGTGAGATTTTGAAAATTTTCCCATAATATATTGATGTTAATTGATCAATATATAAAAATCGAATTAATTATCCTGACAGAATGGTGCTAATAATAAAATATCATCAATGGAATTCTTGATTTTCGAACGTTTTCAACCCTCTAAAAGGAAAATTCAGACTCTCATTTTATTTCGAATGCGAATATTAAATTCCATCAGCATAAAAATAAATCCTTATCAAACATGAGTAAAAAGAGAATTCACTACGTCTACTTTGCAAAAAAAGAAGAAAAAAACTACCATTGGGTTGGAAAAATTCAATTTGAAAGTGTCTGAATCTGGTCGCAGCATCTCATTTGGCAGTAGGAAATGGCGGCATGAGAGGAAAAGATTGCGATAGGGCACGCGAAACACCGACACACAACACACATTTCTCGCCTTAAATTCATTTTGATTGCTCGTCGGGCGAAGCGGAGGGAACGTGCGTCAGAATAAATACGCGGAGAAAGCGCAAGCAGTGTTGTTGGTTTTCAAGCACGCACGGCCAACAATGAAAATTCCATTTGTTTGGTGCTCGGCCTGGGGAGCGATCTGGGCGATAAAAGAAGTCGTTATCTGCCTTCGGCGAACGACGTTTATATCGGCGAATGCATTACGGATTGTCATTAAAGAGGCGGGAAAAAATGGTTTTTAAATAATTGAGGCGACGCCGTAAAAAAAAAATGGCATATAAACCGCCCTATCCCGGAGCCACTCTATATGTATATGAAAATCGTTTGAAGTGGTGTTTGCGGCGTAAAAAGTTATCCAGCCGCAAACTTTAATTCCAGCCAGATAGGATATGTACGTACGCTAGGCTGTTATGCCCGAGTACCTCTCCTTTTAATACGCCCGCCCACGGCGCATTATAAAATCAAATTCCTCGCATTTTGCGGCGAATCTTGGACACGGGCGCGTAAAAAGCTCGGCTTTATTGCCGTCCCCAAAGTTTTACCTGCGCAAATTTTATGAGTCGGGCCAGTGATTTATTGCAAGTGATGACCCTTTTCACAAAAATTTCAAATTTAGTTCAAAAAAGTTTGTATATGATAATTTTAAAATTAATTAATGCCTTTAAATAAAATATTATTAATTTATTTAAATTTTTAACATTTTTTCAAATTTTATGATGATAAATTTTTTAATATGAATAATATAAAAATTAATTAAAATATCACATTTTTTTCAACTCAAAAACCTATTCAATATACGTGTTGTTACTAGCTTATTAAATGAAAAGTTTATATTGTTTATAAATTTATTTTAAACAGCGTATCTTATTTGATTTTATATTTATGATTTTTAACTAAAGCTTTTCTTATGTTGTTGGGGTCAATGCATTTTATTAATTCACTGTCCATTTACACTCAATTTTATTACACAACATCTACAAAAATATCAAATTACAAGCAAAATTTAAAATATCATAGAATATTATTGTTCAAAACCAATCACAATGTCATATTAATGAAAATTTTTGCTTGAATTGTGTTTCAGTGGCACACCTGAACTTGGGTCATGCCTTGGAGCAGGTGGGTCGCAGCGAGGAAGCCGTCGATGTGTACAGGGCGTGCGCCAGTCTAGACGGCACGGGTCTCAAGGATCCAAAAACACACGAAGCGACCAAGATCTCGGCCCTTTTCCACCTGGGCCGCCTGCACGCCGACCAGGGTCGTTTCAACCAGGCGGCCACCATCTACAGGGAGGCCATTGACAAGATGCCCGACTACTATCAAGCGCAGGTCAGTTCAATTGTCATTAAAACTTCCACTAATTATTCAGATTTGGTTTTATCCATAATGACAACATTTGGGCTCAAATTTTGGATTATATAAATTTAGTTCAAAATAATCTTTAGAATTATTGTTCAAAGTTTTGTATTATTTATGAAGTATTAAGTATTTTTTTGTTTGAAAAAGTCTAAACAATTTCTTTTCATATTATAAGAATCTCAAAATTTACATAATGCATTAATTAAGGAGCAGATTAAACAAAAAATTATTTTCGTTAATACAATAAAAAAATTGGGCAACCTGCTTGACTGATCTGTTAAGCATGGTTGCATAACTGAGCATTCACTTGCTTGACACACAACATTAAAAAATCATTCTATATGAAACGCAAAAATATATATATTAAAAAAACCGTTAATTTTTTTATTTAATTTTTATTTCGGAAATTTAGAGGATCGCGTCTCCCATTGGACCATTTAATAAGCCCTATTGTATTGATTCGCCGTTTAGGGACTTTGCAGTTCCCCATTCTCCGTTCGATGGGTGTCCTCGTGTCGTGCGAAAAGCAGAGGTTAAATTCTTCTCGTCACAAGAGCGCCGTCCAAACTGTTTGCCCACGTTTTTGAGCGCAGCGGGGCTTTGTTTGCCTCCGGAATCGGCGGCTCGAGTGCTTTTTGTTGTCAGCCACTAAATTCAAGTGACAGTTGTGCGAGTAGGCAGGCGAACGGGGGTGCCGCGAGGAAGTTGCGGAGGCGGCGTGCAAATGCCTTCGCAGAGGGACGATAAACCCTTCGGAGGTGTCGGAATTTAAACGCATTACGCGCCAACTCGCTACGAACCGGCGATTATAATTTAGTGAGCGCGAGAATTCCTGGTGCGCAAAAAGCTTACAATGCGTTTTCAATATTAGTATATTAGTGTGCAAAATAAAGAGAAATTCATTAGATAGTCGACCAAATTAATTACAAACGTCATCAAATGAGCCAAATCGATAATAGCGGCCAATAATGAAACGTATATTTTATATAAAAACGTTCGCTAGTATGTTGAGGATCTTGTAATAACCTGCTGATTTGATTTTAGCGCGGGTCAAATGTTTGTCCCATTGAGGGGGCTAAGAAAAGTCATCCCCATTGACTAGGGGATAAAAAAAAATTTTAGGCGGGATAAAAACTATTTATCCCGGGACAGTGGTTAAAATTTAAAATTCAATCCCTTTGGATATTTATCCCTAGATATCTTATATCCCGGGAGAGCTAATTCTCTTGAATTTCCCTCATTATTTTTAGAATCTTTGGACTGATTATTTTTTTTTTTTAATTATTTTTTTATTGTTACTGGTTTGCAATAATTGATACAATTTCCATTGTTAATATCAAACAAATTATGTTATAATGATGATTTAATTTTTGAAAACCTTTGCCATTACTTACAAATTAAAAAAAAAATCATGTTTAAAGTTTCCTTTTTTCTACATACTTCAACAAACTTTGACCAAAAGCAATTTTTTTACATAACAGCTTGCAATAGTTTGAATAATTTTAAATAAATATGAAATTTCAAAAGTTTTGCAAAAAAATCCTAAACGAAAATAAAATTAATTATTGTGCGTTAATGTTTTAATTTTAAACAGCAATGATAGCAATCCAATTCCACATTTTCCAGTGCACACATGTGTCGCCACTGATGAATTTGCAACTATTTGATTTTGTCCCTTGTTGTTTTCACGCTCTCGCTCGAACGCGTCACTCTATTTTGCCTCCTCTCGGTGGCAAATTTAATAATGGAACAGGCGAGTGGCGAATTTTCCTCTCCAACAAAGAGCGAGAGCCAGCGATCGGCTGACGTCGTCGGTTGTTGTTAATATTAAATCGCGTCAACTGGAGTTCCGGCCCGCCCGCTCGCGTGATAATGAGAAATGACAATTTAGCTCTGCGAACAATGAGCCTTTTGTTTCGCGAGACCGCGCGCGCATCAAACGCCGCTGCCGCTGACACGGCGACGGCAACCGGTGAGCGCTCACGCACCGACCACATGCATTGTTCGTCTCTGGAAACTGCGGCAGACTTGCTAGTTTCCTTTTGCAAAACGGCACACAGGATGAGCCCCAACTTTGCACTTTGCAAACAAAAGAGCAGACGTTCCGGTTTCTCTTTAAAATGGTTTCACTTTAAAAATCGACACGGCAAATAAAAAAATATAAGAATCAAGCTATTCGATATTTTTTTATTAATAATTATTGTAATTATTATTATTATTTTAAATAAATAAAATAAATAAATAAATATATTATAATATCCGGCTGTCGTTCGGTCAGCCAGGCTAGGTTTCTATATTTCAACTTGAATGGGTCGAAATTATATCAAAATACCCATAATTGGTGATATCTGTTTATTTTCCTAAGGCAATAACATTTCATTTATATTTCCCCAGATTTTACTACAGCCAGGAAAACAGTTTATTTATTTATTCAATAATATAAGAAAGAAGTATTTAATATCCATTTTAAAATTATTAAATAGAAGGCCTTTATATAAAATTACTAATTATATTATTTTTTTTAAATTTCTTCATCAATAAATTTTATTTACCTAAATTTCTAAGCTAAATGGCTTTTGATATTGAATAAAATAGCCTGATATTAATTTTAATAATATTATAAGTTTCTCAAATATCCCATACAAGCACAAGGCAGTATGAAAATTTTGTTAAACAAATCATGCGCTTGGGGATGTTAAGGTTTTTGTTGGAAATTAGTTATTTATAATTACATTTATTTTGATTGATAAATTATTTCTATGCTCTCATTATTCTTCTATTTATAGATGATTATTTGCAATACAGATTTCCCTTGAGAAGCATAGTGACCTCAGCTGGTGTCCAGTCGGTCACACAGCTCAATTACCACGCCTCTCCTCTTTCTGATTTATCTCCGCAACCGAGTGTTGGCTTTGACGTTGCACAGGCACTCGATCGATCCGATTTTCGGGCTAATTGGCTGTTAAAAAGTGTCAATCCAGCTGTCTGCCGGGCTGAAATAAATCCCTGCGCGCGTCGATCGGGGATTATTCCCAGTCAGCAGGTTGCAAAAGGAAGGATGCGAGCGGCCCTCTAATTGCGGATCTAGGACGACACACACTCGGCCTGCTCGGATTACAAGGAAATTGCGTTCTTCTCCGCTCCGCCGGTTTCAATCATTCATATTTTTGCACCGCACGCGCCCTTCCACCGCGATTTTTGCCTATACACTGTTTTGCGGAATCGAATTTCTCCGCTCAAATTGCTCTGATTCATCCTCATTTATGTAAATTGCGAGCTACTGAGGATCTTTTTATTGTACTAAATTTAATTTTGGAACAATATTTGACCGCGACCAAGGCAATAGAAAACTTAAAAGAACATTGCCAATAACATATTATATTAATAATTAACAAAATAAAAATAAATAATATTTTTTTTTTCAATTTAATTTATTTGGCCTGCAAACATTTGACTCTTAATTTTAGATGTAAAAAATAGCGACAACAATGCATAAATATTATAAATAATAAACTAAATTGTTATTTTAATTGTCAATTTCAATAAAAATGATATTTAAATTAATGTTTTCCTAACAATGATATTTTAGAATTTTATAAGAAAATTTTTAAATCTATTTCTACAACAGAAACTTCAGAAGTGTATGGAAGGTCCTGAGTCTCTTTTCAATTGAAATTATTGATTTTTTTTTTAACTTATAAATAAACATTTACTTCTCAAGGGCACTGAAGAACAACGAGTGCACAATGCACCACTTGCAAAACAACGATTCAGATCTATTTCTGCGCTGCAGTGCATAAACCGACTCCGAACAAATAAAACTAAGCAGGTGTACACATTGCAAACACCGAAAGCGATATCGGCAGTGCTATGCAAATATAATATGGGAGCTCGCAGGGCTGCAAGCCCGACGTAATTTCGCCGCCGCTCAATAAGACACGTCGGCTGACTTTGCTTGTTGATTCAGGCCGGGAATTAATCACATGTCGTGATTGCACCCGATCCGGCTTACCAGCTCCCGGATGAAAAGCAGCAACGGCAGCAGCTCGGAATTACTTCCAGCGGCGATGGCCACCTCGCAGCCTCTTCGGCAGCCAAGGGATTATGGGCGAAATTATGGAGCTTCCCTCGAAAGCGCCATGCCAACTCGTGCGAACGCGAGAAATGCGTTTGGCAGCTCCAACTTGATGAGGGAGATTTAGTGGGGGGTTTATTTTTCAAGTTCGAAAATTTTGTAAAAAAAAAGATGCAACTTGGTTCCGTTGAAAAGAAACTCATCAAAAGAAGTACATAAATTATCTATTAATTTATTTAGCTCCTTTTTTAATTACATTCAGCCTCTCATAGAAATGACATAGCATTATTAAAGCGATGCTAAATTTCTAGCTAATTTATAGCTTTGTTAAATACTTTTTTCATTAAAATTATGAAGCAAACTCTTCACCGCATACTGTGATAGACAAAATTTAGACAATGTTCGCAAATAATTTCTTTTCTGTAATTATTATTTATTTATTTTTTTAAATAATTTATTTTATTATAATTTGTTGTAATAAGAAGTCCTGTTTTTGTCAAATGCCTTCGTTAGTTTTTAAAAATATGTTTTATTAGTAAAAATTTTATGATTATATAATTTATTTCAATTCAAATTAAAATGAATTTAGTTCAACTCTTAGCCGCATAAAGCAATACACACTTTTAATGAAGATAAATTTTTTTTAATTACGTATACTTTTTATTTATTTCTAGCATTCATTTTTATTTTAATATTTATTATTATTACCATGAATCTTATAGTTCACACAAATGCCTTGAATTAATGTTGATTATTTACATCAAATAAACAATCTCTTAAATTTGATTAATCTCAAGAAATGAAAATTTTCACAGCCATTTCTTTTCTTTGTTGCAGTCTTTGTACAACATGCTGGGTGAGGCCCACTACCGACTGAACGAGTTCGCCGAGGCCGAGAGGTGGTACAAAGCAGCCCTGCAGGCCAAACCGGACCACGTCCCGGCGCACCTCACCTACGGCAAGATGCTGGCGAAAAACGTAATTATACTCTTGGAGAACAGACCCTTTTCCCTTTAGATGGTTGCTTGACAGGAATGCTTGGCTTCAGTAAATTTAGAGAAAATTTCTGATATAAATTGAAGATAAATAATAATTTTGAAACCCAAAGTTTACTTTTCTAAGATTTTTTCAATCTTCTAATTGAATAATTATAAAAATTATCATTTTATTTTAATGGAATTAACTTATATATTGAAGCTTTCAATTTGAAAAATGACAATGATTATTTATGAAAAATATAAAAAATCTTTGGCTATTCTCTCAACCAAATCGATGATATTAAAAAAATGACATTTCAAAAGCTATCCTTACATTAGTACAGAAATAAAGCGGCAATTATTTAGGCATAAATTTTTAATTTTTATAATATCTTCCATTGAAAGCAAAACAAAATTGTACTTGTCAAAGCAAAATTTTAAGTTATGAACATGTCTGTCTTGGAAAGTTTAAGATTTGAATTTAGGATTTGTGCCACTTTTTGACTTTCTCGACTGTTTTTTTTTCTTTTCTTCAAAGATGCGATAATATGAAATGATTTCCATAATTAAAAGAATAATAGGAAAATATCATTTCAATCTTTGCTATACAATATGGAATTTCCTCAGCCAGTCACGACCGTCAAACAACCACTTTCAAAAGCGAAACTGAGGAAAAGCTTTTCAGAACATTAACAAACATCTACATCAAAATCTTTCTCTTCCGCTCTCTTGCAGAGAAAGGAAAAAAATTAAGAGCTTTCTGAGCCCATCTTAAATAAAACTTTTTGCGCAGCAAGAGTCGTTGCTTTCTGCGAACGCCATAAGCTCGGGCAGGAAATAGCGTGTCGTAATTTTTTGCGTCCATATCAGCGAGCGAAAGAAGAAAGCAAGATGGATAGAGAAGGTTGACTTTGCATGTTTGCTGGTCCGGCAACATCCTTTTGCCGAGTATGAAAAATTGCGTGGTGCCATTCAGGGCGAGATGCAGCAGCAAATGAGCCGGCCATAAATCATCCCCCGCTAATACCCGCACCCCTAGGCTTGACTTGTTGTGTTCAGATTTGCCTCGGATGGAAAAAAGTGTTTCTGTTTCGGTAATTGAGTGACTGGCTCGCGATATAATTTATCGCCGTTCCTTCTCTGTTTCCGACGCCCCGACTGACGCGCATTTGAAAAATCGTTTCGCTCCCCCTGCTGCAGCCAATCAGCACGTTGTGTTTAACTTAATCTTGTGTGTTTTGCAGAAGACGAGGCTGCTCGAAGCCGAGCAGTGGTTCATGAGGGCCAAGCAGCTGGCGCCAAACGACTCCAGCGTCTACCAGCACTTCGGTAAGTTCAAAAACAATGCGAAGTAATTGCAAATTGAAAAGGTCTATACACTGAAAAAAAATTTCACCAACGAGCTGCACATAAAGTTTTAGGCTGAAAACGTTCCCCAGCGTATCCATTTATTTTTTAATTGTATCAGTTGTTTTGATAAATTTTATTACATAAATTTCACTGCAGATTACGTCATGTCTAGTTTAAAATATTAAAATAATATCCATTAATAAAAAATTTAATGATTGGGGATTTAGGGAAATTGTCTTGTACGATTTATCAAATCAAATAAACCGTTTGATAAATTAAGGGAAATTTCATCAAAAATTAATTCCCTTTGCATAAAAAGATTAAAAATTAATTGATTTTTGAATTACCAAATTAAATTCTAAACTAACTTTAAATTTGAAAAATTAATTTCTTTGGAAATAATAATAATTCATCATCGTCAAAAAAACGTATATTAATTTGCTTTTTTTGCCTAATCTGTTCTAATTGTTTCACAATTGATTATTGATTAACACCATTTAATTAAAAAAATAATAAGCAAAAAAAATTTGAAGTGCGCGAAATTTGATTTTTTTAATTAATCTATTCTGTTCATCAGTCATCAGTTTAAATTTGAATTGCGTTGGCTAAAAACTTCAAAAATACAATTTCATAAATGGTTTTTGTTAAAATATTTTAAAACTGTTTACTGTTCTAAAGGAAAAATAGCAATTTTTGCTTGCATTAACCTTCATCCATAAAAATTGCTTTTGATTTAGGCTGCTTCAATGACACGCTTGTGAAATTTTAACAAAATGAGACCCAAATCCACACATTTTATTAGGAATCTTTAAAGTGGTTTTTGGTTAAATTTTTAATGAAAAGGTATTAAAAACTACTTAACAGCTAGTTTGACACACTATTAAATTGTTAAACCGAATTTATTTGAGATTCGTTCAGTTTCATTTGAAAATTTGCACAAGACCTTTTCTGCCAACCACATTTTTCTCAAGAACATGCGTCTCATGTATTCACGTACGAAATACGCCATGAATAATTTAAGAGGAACTGACAGGTTTTAAGCTGGCTGACGTAGAAAATTACACAAAAGGAAACCGCGCGCCGCCCACACGCGTTTTAACCTTTCGCCAAACATCATGTGCTTTGCTCAACATCTCATTTGTTATCCGCCGCGCATATGCGAAATCTAGGGGTTGATGGGCCCTATCTGCCTCGGCGCTGCCGGAGTGAGTGAAGGGGGACATTAAAAATAGCGGCTTATGAAATATGAACACACACACGACACACTGGAAAAGGGAGAGCAGGTCTACCGTGGCTAAAAACCCTTGTCAGTCCGTCTTCTTTATCTTGTAGACAGCACGATAAAACGTCCGCGAGCATCATTATTCTTCCTTCATTCCGCCCAAGAAGAGACGCGGTTATGCAACCCGGTTGACACGTTGGACAAACTCTGAAAAAAAAATGTCAAGCGAAAAACTGACGCCGGATTACTCTTGACGGCTCGAAATTGAAAACTTTGCTCTTTTCGGTTGCAGGCCAGTTTCTGTCCGAGCTCGAGCGGCACGAGGAGGCGGCCCAGAATTACGTGCGGGCGGCCGAGCTCGCCCCCGACGACTACGAAATCGTCTTCAACGCCGCCAATGCCTTACGACAATCGGGACAGCTCGCCGAAGCCGAACGATTCTACAGACACGCAGTCACCCTCAGGCCAAAGGTAAGAACGATTTCCAAATATTATTTTTTTACGAAAAAGCGGAATACGATCGGAAAAATGAGAAACACTTGAATTAAGTCTGCGAGATTTTGCAATATTTTTTAAACATAATAATTAAAATAGTCGCAAATTTCATAATAAAATGAGCAAACTGAGATTTAGGGTAAAATTAAATGAATCCATGACCAGATTAATTACTGAGAAATGTGAGCTCTTTCTAAAAACATGGCCTTTAACTTTTAATATTATATCTCTGATTCTCAGGTTGAAATAATTTATGTCCTCTTTGCTATATCTGGCGTTAGGCCCGTAAACGTTTGTATATTTGCTTGGGTCAAGGTCAAGAAATCAATAATTTCACATCTGGGGGTATAGGAAAGTTTTGAAATAGAACAATTTATTACATGCTGGATGAAACTATATTTAAGGCTATTTTTTTTTTAATTTTGTAAGACGTGTCAAAGGGAATTTTAAAGAAACATTAATTTTAATTATTAGAGAGTAATTTGTAGTTTTAAATAAGTTATTACTTCATGATCTTCTTTCATATAACATTTTGGGTGCTACAAAAACTGTTTAAAATTTAAAAGCATAATTAAAAAGTATTAAAGTTATATTTGTGAGAAGTAATTTAGTTTATGAAGGATTTTTTACCATTTTCAAAATTTCAGGATTGGGGGGAAAATAAAAACTGAAATTTTTCCTTTTAGCTGGGAGATTTTTGATTTAATTATTTCTATTTTATAAAATGTTAATCTTGAGGCTTCATCAAGTTTGCCGCGTTTCGGCAGGTCTGGAAATGGGACCACTCAATTTCAAACAGAGAGAACAAATTCTCGTGGCGGGGTCAGCGGCCGAAGGCGAGTGGTGCGGCCATGAATTCGTCATTACGAGGATTTAATTAGCGTAATCAAATTGGCAGTCGCACACATGCATGCTTTATTTGGCCAGTCGGACGGAGAGAGCAAGCGAGGGCAGGTCGCGCGGGGCCGGCGTAATTTGCGCTAATCTGGCATATGCAGCCTAATTCCGACCAGACGAGTTTATATTACTAATTACAACCGCGGCGCAAACGTGCCTAGAATTAACTCGCAGTTCTCTCTTGCTCTGCAGTGGAAAGCGCCGCTCGTTTTAATGTACGTTTGCAGATGTTGAGAGTGCACGGACCCTTTATTCCTCCTCTCTTTTCTCCCTCTCGCCGTTCAAAATGCACCCCTCTCGTGTGTTATTTTATTGCTCAGGTGCTCCCTCGCACCCTTCACTGCCGCTGCACACATACGCAATAATGATCCCGCAAAACAAGGCAAGGGTTGCGTGTAATTGCGCGCATATTTCAAGACCAGCCACGGGAAATTAAATTTGAACACCGGGGTGAATTTTGTGCTCACAAAATCAGTGGCATGAAATTGCGTACACTTTTAAATTTGATCCTGGTGTATTTTAGGTTTATGAGAATTATTATCCATTAAACTGGAGAAAAGAGCCTCAAAATAAGTCTAAAAAGTTAAACAGAAAGATGTATCAAGAAATATATTAGCTCAAGAGAAAAATTTGTTTTTACCAAAATTTGATGATAACACTGATTTTTAAGAATTACAGATTTTCGATTTAACAGTAAATTTATCTACCTAGAATAAAAATTTCAACTAATTTGAATGAACATTAAATTATGGCTTATACCAAAATATATTAAATACATTTCATTAATAAGAGTCGGATAAAAAGTTGTATACGTCTCATATATTTTGAATAAATTAAGCTAAGTTTATTTTGGAACAAAACTTTAATCTTATTTGCCCTTTCATTAAAAAAAATTATTTTTGTTCAATTTAAGATGAAATTTTACAAAACATTTTAAAATGTATATTAACAGTGTTTTAAATACTGTAGTATTGAATTCCTTTTGAATACCATCTTGACAAATTTAAATATTGTGTAAATTATAAATTTTTAATTTAATTTTTAATCACTAAACTTGATAATTTTACCTCAACTGCTCTCAGCCAGTTGTAATAGTTTGAAACTAAAATTTTTAGCATTCCCAGAGGACCCAGAGCATTTATGACAAGATAAATTGTGATTAAGGATGCCAATTTTGAAAGTATTGCCAGAGTTTTAAAAAGCAAGGATGCAAGCTCAATTTCAGTCCTGCTTTCGCTCCAATAAATCCAGTCGTCGGACGCAAATAAATCGCCTGAATGTGTCTTCCGCATGTACTGCTGCTGTGTACGTCGGCCCTAAAAATGTCCCCATGTCACTCGTCGCCGCCATGCCTCGGAGTTAATTTTGCTGAAAATTTCCACCCCAGCCGAGCGAGCGGACGAAGACAGCCAGTCGAAATTATTTCGGAACAATAAATTTTATTGCATTCCTCGAGCGGATATATGGCCAAATAAAACAGCCTCGATCTCTCTCTCCACTCGCACTGGGCAATAAATCCCGCCCGGGCTGCGCTTTAATTGCGAGATATATCAAATTAAGCGCGGCTCGGTTGGCACTGAAAATTCTTTTCTCGCCAATTTCTATCCAACTAACAACGCCAGCAATATAAATAAATGCACAGTTTTATCTAATAAGGAGAAAAGAGTAAATTCAAAACGTCAAAATTAACCCTCAACATAACATCAATTTGTAATTTTACCTGCATTTTTTGTGGAAAAAAATATTCAATTGATAGTTAAAAACTAAATTTTGATATATTTATTATGAATAAAGAAAAATTCTAAATCTATGCAAAATCAGAAGTGTGCAATTAAATTTAATTGGTCTGGATTCTGAAATAAAAAAGCTGTTGATTAAATTGTTTTTTTATGCAATCAATAGAATTCAGCTTTAGAAACACGTTGAATTGAATTGAAAAACAGTTTTTCATGTGCTGTATGCGGAGCGGAGTGGTTTCATTGTACGTAAGAAAAGCAGGAAAAATTTATTAGAACTAAAACAATAAAGCTCGCTCACAAAACCCCATCTAGGAAACTTATTTTACAATAATTCAATTCACCTCTCTTTTCCTTGTTAATCATTACACAAGTTGGCGTGAATAATATTTAATGAACCTTAATTAAATTATAATTATTTTGTACTACAAATTTTGTCCAGTATCTCCTCTCCAACTCTTTGAGGATTTAACTTACAATGATAGAATTGTTGAAGTCCTACACAAAAATTTAAAAAAAAATTATATTACCAAATAAAATTTAACAATGAACAAAAGTTAAACGTGCATTAAAATAGATAAAGAATAATAGAATATTATCAAAATCAAGGAGAAAATAACAAAATGTTAACTTCTTAATATCAAGAGAGCTTAACATTAAATTTTATGGACCCATTAATATTTTATTAGATTCTTCAATATTGATTAAAATCGTCTTGAAAAGAGTTAAAATAAATTTACTACTTTAAATTGACGCTTCGGCACCTGTTGGAACTCGCATATCATTTTACACAATTACACGCGACCACAACCCTCCGGAAAATCTAAAGCCGGAATGCGCGAAAGGCGAGAGAGGCCGAAATCAATAAAGTGCAATTTTTGTTCTGGAAATTTTTTTAATCTCACGCCACGTTGCTGCCAAGCCATGTGGGAAAGCAAATCGGGAAAAAAGGGCCCGCCGCCGCCGCCTCATGGGAAATTAGATGGCTCTCTGATAAAGCTGCTGCTGCTTTTTTTTATTATATTGTATGGAACGCATGAATTGATGCCGCCGAGCAAATAATAACAAACTGAAAATAGATTAGCTGCCGGCGAAACACACACAGTGCTGACTCGGCGCAATTAGCCCCCGGGCGAAAGCAGCGAAACGTGAGCCGGATTTTCGCTGGACGCTGATTAATCTGACCACGGGATGGAAAAATTGGCACCAAACTTGGACCAACGCAAAGGTGGTGTTTCTCATCTAATTATATCAAGAGTTCACGCAAGAGAGATGGATTGACGTTGTGCAAATCCCTCCAAAATCGAGCAGGTTACAAAAAACTTCCAATCTAATAACCGGCGGAAAAAGAAGATACTGATCGTGAAAAGAAATTTCTTGTAAAATAGTTCAAAATATAAAAGTGAAATTGAATTTCTGCCAATAAAATGGCTCTGCACAATGTGGATGTAAATTTAAAACATATTATTGCGATTAGACAGGAAAAAACAACTTCTTAGTTACGTTTTTTTTTATTCAATATTCAATCCAAGGTAGAAATATTCTGACAGTAGATATCTATATCAGTATGAGTCAAAATAAGTGGGACAACAAACGAACTATTTTGGGACATTTTTATTTTTGTGTGAAATTTTCTTGCACAATTTCCACCATACGAACTTTTTGACGATTTTCTTCAGAATTTCATTTGATATATTTTTATAAAATGATGTTTATTTTTTTTTAATTTAAAATTAGATGCTGAATCAGAATATTACGCAATGAATAATATAACAAATACAATGCAAGAAGTAGAATGATATATGCTTTCATAGCAATCTTGTAATTAATATTCAATGCCTTTAGCACAGATAAATAAATTTTCTCATAAGTTCCTTTGAACAAAATCTCTTAATTTTATCACGAACATAATTATGTCTCCATTTATTTTAATAAACTAATAACCAAATATGACACCAAATTATTAAATTTTAAATCGACAAACCGAAAATATTAATTTTAATCTTAAATATTATAAAAACGTATTATCTGTTAATTTTTTATAAAAAAAAAACATACTTACAATTATTTATAAGTTTTAAATTTTTCTCATTTCATGAATCCACGACGTTTTTATTGGCTTTTAAATTTAATCGTTACAATACAATCTGATTGAAAAAAATTATTTTATTTATTTTTAGAATTATGCGCCTACTTTTCTAAATTGACCTTTTCTCATTTATGTCGTGTCAAAGTGAATGGCCGGTCGATGGCATTAAATTTGGCAAACAAAGCGCGTCGTTCAGGCCCATTGGCTCTCTCTTTTAATCCTTTCGAACGGGCTATGTGGTGCTCAACCTGTCG